AAAAAAAAAAAAAAGTAAAGTTACCTGTTTGTTTTGCAGTTTTTTTCTTTTTTTCCTTCTCTTTCTTATCATATTCTAAAACTACGCTACATTCTTCTCTCAAATCTTCTTTTTTTTTTCTTTTTTTTTTGGACAACTGCTCCAATCTATTCGTGGGGAGCAACACGTGCTAGGAACTGGGCTCAGCATCCCATATAGAATATACATTGTCAAATGGTTGTTTTGAAATACCAGGGCCGTTACCTGACTTTGGCTAAGAACAATCTGAGGACTATGAAAAAAATTCATGAAATTTTAGGAAAAAGGTGGATAACTGCTGACCTATTACTAGCCTGCTCAAGCAGCAATTACTAAGTAAAATAGGAAAGCCAAACAGGAAAGCCACAGAAGTCCTTCGAATGCTCAAAACCCCTGGAATCCCCAACAAAACACTTCTAAAATTCTCTGACACCGTCTAATTCCCTGTCGAGCTCTCCCAGGCCTCATGCCCCCACCCTGCTAGGTCACAAGGCAACACGACTCACCCCAGCTGCGGCCAGTGTCGTCCCAACAGCAACCCTTGGTTTTCACTTGGAATGCTCGGCCCAAGGCATCCCCAGATCTCTCTACCAGGCCTCACGCTCCTGCTATCAACAGGTTACAGGGCAACCCTCCAGCACCAGCCAGCGTCGTTCTGGCATCGAAAAACCGCAGGTCCATGAATGTAACAGCATCAAAGAAGCCTAGAATGAGTTGCAAGACATACCCAGAATCCTAAGGCATTCTCAAGATTGAAAGAACCGCCCCCTGCCAACATTGATTACCTTGGAATCCAAGGGATCCAGGGGATTAGCTAAGCAAGGAACGTCCTTTGATGGTAATGAGAAAAAAAAAACTATCATTTCAAAGAATCCAAAGAATTTCAAACAAAGGAAGAGGTGAGTGTGAATCCCGGAAGATACGATTGACAACCATTTTCTCCTACTCAACGCCCAACAGGCTAACTCATCCCTAACTCCCGCCTTTCAGTTTCAAATTCTTTCAATTCACCTTCACTACCTACCAACCACTACTCCAAAGGCTTATACAGGGGACCCCTGTGAACATAGCTTTGTTGTCTCCCTCCAGCCATCAGAGGAGATGCATGTTGTCCCCCTCCCCAACCATGGTGGTCAAGGCTGGGGTGGGGGCGCACTGCTGTTATTTGGTTGGGGTGGGGGACGATGAAAAGGGAGGCGCAACTACTTGTTTTGCATTGTCAAACTGCTTTCGGCCCGAACTTGGAGTGTAGTGTTATTGGTGCGAATTCGAAACTTCACACCACACCTGGGCATACTTATTTCTTTGGGGCACCCAACGTTCAGAATAGGCATAACAAATCTGCCAAACGCCACTGCGGGTAATGACTGACGCAATTTTAGACCCCCGCTAAACTTGCACTTTTTTTTTTTTTTTTTTTTTGAGAAGATGGGAATTGTATTATGGTTAGGGCACCAGTTGGAAATGTGCATTGTGCCTTGAGGTTGTAGGTTCAAAACTCCACATCCGTGCGCATGAACACTGACGGATGTTTACATAACATGTACCCATCTAGAAATCCCCCTGGGCTGATGCAGGTAAGCTATTACAGACACTGCTTCCGCATCACCCAAGGGTCTTAGTCCATGGTTGTTGTATGTTGGGTCTGGGTTGTGGGATGTATGCCTGGTGCTCAAGGTTTATGTGGTGGTTTGAGTACTTGCATACTTGGGGATGATTGCTCATTTACCTTCCGGTCCACTATTGTGCACAAATCGTTCAGCTTCCACAGTAGCTCAGTATGTTCAATAGTACATTGCATGGATGAGGTTATACGTTCAAATTCACTCACGTACTGGGACCCAGAGCCGAGAGACTTACACCCCACCCATAGAATTAGGAACAGTCGATGAGAGTGAGATTTAGTACAATCTGTAGTCAGTGTTAGTAGGTCGCTGGGGGTAAGAGTAGAGACTAGAAGAGGGCATGCTGCTAGCTGGAGATCTGGGGGGATCAGCCACGAGGCACATGAGGGGTTAGGATGTGGCTCCCCCTTAGGACAGCTCTCCCATGGAATGGAGCGGTTGATGAGAGTGAGGCATAGTACGCTCTATGACCGATGTCTGCTTGGAAAAACTAGGACCTTACAGACCACCCATAGAAATAGGAACTATGTCTGAAAAACTAGGACCTTACAGTGTTTAGGGCACCGGTTGTCAATGCGCATTGTGGTCTGAGGTTGTGGGTTCAAAACGTTGCACCTCTGCGCAGAGACACCGGAGGCGTTTACATAACGTTGTCGAGCGCATCGGTCCCGCGGAGGGCAGGACCCTCCCGACCGCGTCACACAGGAGTTGGTCTATCTCGTGACACACATGGAGCTTTCACAAGCCGCTCCAGCCGAGTGCGCCAGCCATACCTCTCGCGAGCCCCTACGACAGGATAGGGTTTACGCGAGGTACAACTTACCGCCACCTGTTGGAGTTTGTCACCTCCCTTCGGCGGTGTATCATTGTCGAGCTACGAGTCCACAGTACGAAAGTTAATCAGTTGCAATCGCAGAGGTGGACCAGCCGAGGGCGTTTCTCGTTCGTTATAACATAGGGAATACACATGGTTCTACACCTCTATCGGGCCCGCACACGAACCGACGCACTACTAGGGGGCTGAAGTCCCAGGCGCGACTCGTCGTCAGTCGCTAGGACGCATCCCACATACCACGCGTTACACCACTCTTAAAACATAAAAATTAAAATGCACACATGCACACGGAACAACATAAACATAAAACAAAACGACACTCCTAGTCCCTTCAGTATCTAACCCATAACCTTCTGACGTGGAAAAT